TGGTAGGGGGCTTGGTCCTGTAAGACTGCCCCCAACTTCAGACAGCAGCCACAAGCCTCTGGCCACCCGCACTTCTGACTGACTGGATATATATCGGGGTCCCACAACCACTCTCAGGCCTGGTAATTGGCTAGAGTGGCTCCCAAAGAGCTCAGGAAAAAGCTTTAATAGAGGAGGGCAGGGAGTGGGGAACAGTGTGGGGCTTCCACGCCCCCTCCAGGTGAGCCGCCCTCCCAGCACCTCCTTGTGTTTTCCTGTCCTCCTCAGCCCTCGTTGTTGAGGGGTTTCCGTGCAGGTGGTACTACACAGGTATGATTGAGTACATCACTGGCCATTGGTGATTGAACTCCATCTCCAGTCAGAAATTGGAGACAAACCCAAGTATTTATTATACCATATTCCTTGTCCTCAGCTCTAAGGGTCCAAGCTGGTCCCCAAACTGCCTTCCTGCCCCTCCCACCTGCTCATATTTTCATCTGACCCTGAACCCATTCCCCCAGCTTTTTGCCTGGGCAGCTCTTTATAGCTCCTTGATAAGAGCTATCTTCACTTCTCAAGACCCCTTCTAGCTTTCCTGCAGCAGCTCCTCCAGGGAAACCGCCCTGCCGGCCCTGCTTCTGAGTAACCTGTGTCTGGGGCGCCCCAGTCCACTGCTGACTGTCCCACTTTGGAGCCCCTTGGGGGCAAAGCCTGGGGACAGAATCCTGGAGCCCCCAGGCCCTCAGAGCTTGGCCTTGACCATGTTGTTCCCTGCGAACGTTCCCAACTATCCACCTTTTGGGCTAGCTCCAGTGATGGTAACTTTCCAGCCGGAGGAGGCCGCTTGTTTTGGAAAGTTCCTGGGGGAGCCGCCCCCGCCCGCCCGCCGGGTTCCCACGCTCCCTTATCGCTGGGCGCTAGCGGGGCTCAGGGCTGTACCGGTCTAGCTCCGCCCCAGCTGGCGAGCCTTGGTCCTGCCCACCCGCTTCCCTCTGAACAGCACCTCCCTCCAGCCTGGCCCTGCCAATCCTTCCTGCTACAGGTCGGGAAACCGTTGCCCCCACGTGTGAGCCCCGTAGGCGGGCAGGGGTGCCTGGTGGTTACCACTGCTCAGGAAGACCGAGGAGGAAGCAGCCTGGGCTGGAAGGGTAGCTTTGGAGTCAAAACTCTGTCTCGTCCTCTGCCTTGGTTTCCCTTGCAGTATCTTGGACCTAGGTATTCTCCCATAGACCCAGCCTCCCTGCCCAGCGCCACCTCCCGCTTTGTGGCTGGGGCCTGGCGCTCACTTGCAGCCTTAAGGTCTTCTTTTGTAAAGGAGGGATAAACGGCCTCGCTGCGGCCGGGGTCTTTGGTCTATGCGGATGTTCGTTGGCGTCCGGCGCGGTAGGGACCCAAGAACCCCGGGGGCACCTGTAGGGTCTGCCTCGAACCCGAGCCCTAAGCCGGCACGCCCCTCCCCCTGCGCGCCCCTCCTCCCCGGCGCGGGTGGGCGGGGCGGGGGCGGAGCCGCGGCTCTTTTCTCCGGAGTTCGCGCGCGCTGAGCTCTAGCATTCCGCCGCTGTCCGAGCAGTCTGTGCGCCGGTGAGTGCGGCCCCTGGCGGGGTACGGGCTCCCCGGGGAGCGAAGTCGGCTCGGCCCGGCTCCTCTGGTGTCCCCGCTGACCCCCTTGTCAACCCCGCGTCTCCAGCTCATCGCGATGGAGGCTGCAGCCGAGTTCGTGGTCGAGAGCCCCGACGTGGTCTACGGCCCCGAAGCCATCGAGGCGCAGTATGAGTACCAGACGACGAACGTCAGCCGCGAGGGTGGGGTCCTCAAGGTAGGCTGTGGACCAGGGGCCCGTGGGGATGGGGAACCAGGGAGCCGGCAGGGGGTGGCAATTGCCCAAGGTCTGCGACCCGGTCCCTGCAGAGAGGAGGTAACTGCCTGGGGCCCCGGGCTCACTGCGTCCCCGCCTCCAGGTTCACCCCACGTCCACGCGCTTCACCTTCCGGACCGCCCGGCAGGTGCCCCGGCTTGGAGTCATGCTTGTCGGCTGGGGCGGGAACAACGGCTCCACGCTCACCGCTGCCGTGCTGGCCAATAGACTGCGTCTATCCTGGCCCACGCGCACCGGCCGCAAGGTCGGGGGGTTGGGCGGGGCTCCGCAGGAATTTGTGCACGAGGAGGAGGAGGGGCCCCCAGGGGCGGGGCTCGGAAGGGGCGGGGCCTGGCTGCTGGCTGACTCCGGGGAGGGGTTTGCACGGGGTGCGGGGGAGGGGAGACTCCTCTGGGGTCTTTCGGGAGCGGAGCCTAAGTTGCCGGCTGGCTGCGGGGAGGGACCTTCGCAGCGAGAGCAGCTTCGGCTCGGTTTTGGAGCACTGGACTGGGGGCACCTAAAGGTAGGGCGGAGTTTGAGGATGCCCGGCGGGGCCCTGGCCAACTCTTGGCCCACGCTACGCCTGCCCCTCACCCCGCCTCGCTTGCCGCCCCCCAGGAGGCCAACTATTACGGCTCGCTGACGCAGGCGGGCACCGTTAGCCTGGGCTTGGACGCCGAGGGCCAAGAGGTGTTCGTCCCGCTAAGCGGGCTGCTGCCCATGGTGGCGCCAGACGACCTTGTGTTCGACGGTGGGCAGGGCCCTGGGCCGCGGGCGGGGTGGGAGGCGGGGCCTGGAGGGACCTGGGATCCGGGCTGGGCCGAGCATGAGGGTACCCCCCAGGGTGGGACATCTCGTCGTTGAACCTGGCCGAGGCGATGCGGCGCGCACAGGTACTGGATTGGGGGCTGCAGGAGCAACTGTGGCCGCACATGGAGGTCCTGCGTCCGCGGCCCTCCGTCTACGTCCCCGAGTTCATCGCAGCTAACCAGAGCACGCGCGCCGACAACATCATCCTGGGCACACGCGCACAGCAGGTGCAGCCCAGCCCCACATCCTTTATTCCCTGCCATTTTCCCCGCGTCATCTCTGTTTTGCCCTCCGTGGTCGCATTCTGAGGGTCCTGGCCTCACTTTGCCCTTTGGTGAACTGAGTAGGCCAGGCCTCCACAGGTCAGGGGGCCTGTACAACCTGCTTCCACCTTACTCCTTACTCCCAGCTGGAGCAGATACGCAAGGACATACGCGACTTCCGATCCAGTGCTGGATTGGACAAGGTCATTGTGCTGTGGACAGCAAACACAGAGCGCTTCTGCGAAGTGGTCCCAGGCCTCAACGACACCGCTGAGAACCTGCTGCACACCATCCAGGTGGGTGCACCCCAGGGGTCGAATGGGGTCAGCACCAGCCCCAAAGGACCCTTTCTCACTGCCCAACTATACCTGCAGCTGGGCCTGGAGGTGTCGCCTTCCACCCTCTTCGCCGTGGCCAGCATCTTGGAGGGCTGCGCCTTCCTTAATGGGTCCCCACAGAACACACTGGTGCCTGGCGCAATCGACCTGGCATGTCAGCGCCGTGTCTTTGTGGGTGGAGATGACTTCAAGTCAGGCCAGACCAAGGTCAAGTCTGTGCTGGTGGACTTCCTAATTGGCTCTGGCCTCAAGGTGCGTGGGCCTGGGTTGGGTGCACAGCTTAGGTGAGGAGTCCTGGACCCCGAGCACAGGGCTTGTGCTCTGTGGGGCCTGCAGCTGCCTTGGGGTCCCTTGTTACCACAGACCATGTCCATTGTGAGCTACAACCACCTGGGCAACAATGATGGGCAGAACCTGTCGGCGCCACAACAGTTCCGCTCCAAGGAGGTGTCTAAGAGCAACGTGGTGGATGACATGGTGCAGAGCAACCCAGTGCTCTATGCACCCAGCGAAGAGCCTGACCACTGCGTGCGTGGGGCCTGGGGAAGGCAGGGTAGGGGTGCAGGGCTGGGGCAGCACCCAGCAAGGGAGGGCAGGAACCCCTCTGACCTCGTACTGCCCCCCAGGTGGTCATCAAGTACGTGCCATATGTGGGCGACAGCAAGCGTGCTATGGATGAGTACACGTCCGAGCTGATGCTGGGTGGCGTTAACACCCTGGTGCTGCACAACACGTGTGAGGTGCGGGTCTTGACGCAGCAGGAGAGGGGCCACGCGCTAGCCTAGCCCACCTCACTCTACTCCCACCCACCTGACCCGCTAATTCCCCAGGACTCACTCCTGGCCCACTAGCCCTGCCCATCTCCCTGACTGCCCTGCAGGACTCGCTTCTAGCCTCGCCCATCATGCTGGACCTTGTGCTGCTGACCGAGCTGTGCCAGCGTGTGAGCTTCTGCACCGACGCTGACCCCAAGCCGCAGGGTTTTCACTCGGTGCTATCGCTGCTTAGCTTCCTGTTCAAGGCTCCACTTGTGCCTCCCGGCAGCCCCGTAGTCAATGCGCTCTTCCGCCAGCGTAGCTGCATCGAAAACATTCTCAGGTGTGTTCAGGCTTTCGAGTCCCCAGCCTTGTCCCAGGTGTGCATTCATGGGGCTGTGCACAGGGCCCAGGCAATTGTAGGCTGCGGGAGTGGGGGGCCGCCGGCTGCGTGTGGCCCTGCTGAGCCCCGACCCGTCCCTCAGAGCCTGTGTGGGGCTCCCGCCCCAGAACCATATGCTTCTGGAGCACAAGATGGAGCGCCCTGGCCTCAAGCAAGTCGGGCCTGTGGCCACTGCCTGCCCGGTGCCTGGCAAGAAAGAACCAGTGCCCACTGCTCCAAACGACTGCATTGGCGAAGCCAACGAGTACTCGCAGGCTGAGGTGCCCCAGATGCCCACCACCTGAGGCCATGGCCATCCTGCTCCCACATAACTCCTTCCCCCATTCACCCCAGACCCGACCCTTTCAGCTTCCTCTGAGACAATAAAGCCAGTGCTAGTATCGTTCTCACCTCCACTGTGGGTTTCTGGTGCCCGCGACCTGAACCTAAGCACCTTCGAACTCCGGCCCTATCGGCATTCTTCCCCTAGTAGACTCCGGCCTACCCTTCAAAGCTCTGCATACTTTGAACCTTCCAGAATCCCCGGCGTCTCTACCGGCCCCAGGTTCTCTTTATCAGTGTGGCTGCAGGCCGAAGTGAAGAATCTGAGACCAGATACCAAAAACCAAAACCAAGTTACATTTATTGATAGGGCCCCCCCAGCTGTCCAAGGGAAAGGTTCCCCAAGAAGACCCCCTGGGCAAAACAATGGCTGGAAGGGCCCACACAGGAAAGAGCGTCTTTGAGGTCCTTGCGTTTTTTTATAAAATGACAGTCCTTCGTGCGGGGCCTCCCAGCTTTCCAAGCTTGACCAGGAGTCCAGCTGACCGAGATGTGACCTCAGACCCTCACCCGGCAGACCACCCGACTCTCTGGGCTTTGTCCGGGACCGGGCGCTGGGCAGAAGCCAAGGCTGCCAGTGGGCAAGGGGCTTCTGCCCCATCACACACTCATCGTCATCCCGGGCGAGTACTGCGGAGAGACGAGGGGGTGGCGCGCGGGGGCGGGCTCAGCTCCGGCCTAGACTGGGACCCGCCCCCCGGAAAGAATGGGGGGCGGGTTAGGGAGGGGAGGGGTCAGGTGGGATGCATCCGGAGGCCGCCCGCCCTGGGGGCGGGTCCCAGGGTGGGGATAGGACAGGGAAGGGGGGAGGGGAGAAGGGTGCCGCGGCCGCCCCCCCCACCTGGCCCGCCGCGGTCACGGTCTTGCTCTGGCCCCCCGGCCGCCCCGCCGGGGCCTGCCCGCCAGGCCCCTCCGGCCCGACGCCGCCGCGGGGGGGGAGTCGACGCAGTCGCTTACACTTTCGCTCGGGAACGGGTGCAGGAAGGTCCCGGCGGCCGCCATCTCGCCGTCGTCCCGCGGGGTGCCGGGGGCGTTGCTCAGGCCGGCCACGGCGCCGGGGGAGCTCTGAGGGCAGCCGCCGTCAGCGGGAAACCCCCACGCCCCGCCCCCTGCGCGGCCGACCCCGCCTCCCGCCCTGCCTTCCCGCTGGTGCGGGGTCCCCTCACCTTCGGCAACCCGTCCACGTCGCCCGAGCCTGTGGACCGACAGACGGCGGACACGCGGCTCAGACGCGCCACCGCCGGCCCGTCCCTTGGATCTGGAGCCAACCGACCCTCCCCGGCCTTTGCCCGCGGCCTCGCCCCCTCCGTAGGCTCAGCCGCCGGGGTCCCGGGCGGAGGGTCCAAAAGGGGTCAATACTGGAGGTCGGCCGTCCCCATGGTCTAGTTACTGGACCCTCCACACAACCCCAGACCCTGTCACTGAACCTCCCAGGGGGGCTTCGATCCACTGCCCCGACCGCTGCACGGAGAACACAGGTGGAGAAACGGGAGACCGCCAGGGGGCGCAGGAGGCTCGCAAAGCAGCCTGGGGGCAGAACACCTACTCACCCAGGGATCCGTTCACGTGGTGAGGTTCCATCGCACTCATAGCGGCCATGGGGCCCTCCGGACCCGGCCCGAGCGGGAACTGCGGGCAGAGTGCAGCATGGGCCCCGGGCCACCAGCCCGCACCCAGGGTGGGTCATCCCAGCCCTCAGCTCCCCACTTACGTTAGCCCTGCCGGCGGCCGGCCCGATGGGGTTCATGACGGTGTACATATTCTCGCTGGAGTTGGTGGAGTCTGGCGGGGAACAGCACGGTGTGAGGGTTTCTCCCTAGCGTGCCCCTCCCCCGCGCCGCGCCCAGGCTACGGTACCTCCAGGGCTGGGCATAATGGGTGTTCCAGGCGGTCCACCTCCTCCTGGTGGTCCCTGCACAGGGAGGGACAGAGCGGTGAGGAAGGTCCTCCATGTGTCACCCCACAACCACTGCACCCCTCTCGGAGTCGGGTGGCCTCGGCCCCACTCACCGTGTAGCTTCCCGGGGAAGAGGAGGAATAGGGGATCTGGGGAGAGGGGCAGATGTGAGCAGTCCACCCCTCTACCCCCACACCCCCAATTCCCCTCACCTTTCACCCCCCCCCTTTCCCGATACTCACCGAGTTGCCACTGGGGCTGGCCCATGGGCCACGCACTCCGGGGCCCCTAGAAGAGACGGTGTGTGGGCCCTGGGGCGAGGCCAGGGGGCGCACAGCTCCCCACCCTGCCCCACGTGCCCCCAGCAAGGCTCGCAGACGTAGGCTGATGACTGGCTAACTAGACACGGTCTCCGGCCAGCCTTCGCTCCCCGTCCTTCGGACCAATTTCCCCGCCCAACAGTGGAATGAACAACATCCAGGCTGTGGGTTCCGGGTCGCCCCAGCGTATCCATCCCCCAAAGCTGGGTAATGGCCGGCATGGATACAATTGCGGGGTCTCTGAGGGCCTTACATGTTCATGGGGGGCAGGCTCGGGCCAGCGAGAGAGTTGGGTGGGGGCCGCATGCCACCTCCGTAGCTCTAGGAAGGCGAGAGGGCCATGAGGGCAGGCCAGAAATGGGAGGGGGAGGGGAAGGCCTCTGAAGTCCCCCACCACCCAGAGCCCAACCCTTACCTGAGGCCCGACGCTGGCCATGCCCCGTGGAGGGGTCACCCTCTGCATCGGGCCCAAGCTCGGATGTCCTGGGGTGGGGGCAGAACGGAGGGGCTCAGGCCGGGGCTACATACCCCCCAGTGTGGGCACGCACTAAGGGCTGGAGTCCTGCACGGTGAGACCGCAGGGACGTGGCGCTAGGAGGCGGGTCTTGATGAGTGGTGGGGTGACGGCGACTGGAGGCTCCCTACTCACCCTGAGCACGCGGGGAGGGGTCCATGGCACCAGGGAGGAGGGGCTGGGAGCCGGGTAGGCCCACGGCGGGCTGCGGAGGGGTTGTGGTAGCACTGAGTGTGGGTGCCACCACCCTGGCCCACCTCCTGCCTCCCACTCCCCTCGTCCCTCTCTCACCTGACTCGGCATCCGCAGGGTTGGCCGGGGGCCCCCTGGGAACCGCGGTGACATGAAGGGCTGGAAGAGGTGGACCGGGGATCAGCACCGCCCCCCACCAGTTACCCCAAGAAACTGCCTGGTTTCTGCGGCACCCGGGCCCCCAGCACTGACAGCTCCCTCCTCCAGGACCAGCCAGCAAACTGCAGCCAACGGGGGCCTGCTGCTTGCGAGTGCAGCGGGGAGGGGTTCGAGGGACTGGGGGTGGGATGTCACAGGTCCTTACCTGAACATGAGGCCCCATCATGGGGGCGTTGGGGTTGTGGGGGAGCAGCTGGGAGCCGAGGGGGCCCTAGGACAGGACCAGGTGGGTTGGGAGGGGTGAGGCCACCCAAAGCTACTGTTTCTGTGGCCCTGCTGGGCCTGGCCTGGGAAGGGGAGGCCATGGAGGCAGAAGGGTGGGCCAGCTATTGTGCTCACTCTTATGCAGGGCTGCGGGGCCGTTATGGGAAGGGTCACAAGGAGGACCCTGGCTCAGACAGCCACGCTGAGGGGCCCCTGCCCTCTCCTGCGCTGGAGCCCAAACCAAATCACCCCTTCCTCATCTGACCCAAAGTCCACAGACACATACCCACCACATGACCCCCATTTCCAGTCTGCCGGTCTCAGGGCCTCTCCCCATGTAAGACCCCCCCACCCATCACTGTCAACACCTCTGTCACCCTCCAACATATGCCCACCCAGGTCAGGGCACGGAGGACCCCAGCTCTGGCTGTACCTGGAAGAAGCCAGGTGCCATGGCGCCGGCTGCCATTGCGTCATTGGGGGCCATGCTCCCCATCACGGGGCTGGGGGCCGCTACAGTGCCCTGCAGGGGTGGAGGAGAGAGTTCATTTCCTGCCCGAGAGTCCCCTCTTCACTGCATGGACCAGTATCGGAACCCGGGCCATCTGACTCTCTATCCACACATGGGAGGTGGCCTGGGGGGCTCTTGGAGAGAGAGCTTCTGTGTCCCCAGGCCCCACCCGCGACATGGCCTCCTTGGATGCACTGGGTGTCCTACAGCAAGGGCTCTGCCTTCTTTCTGCACCTGAGACAGTGGAGGTGGTCAGGACCCAGCCAGGCTGAGCCCACAGCTCAGAAATCTGGGAATCCCAACCCCTAGTGAGTTCCCAAGCCAGAGGGCTCCCCGGGTCTGAAAATGCTGTCACCTAGGACTGTGTGCCCACTATGTGCCTCACCCAGCTAGCAGAGAGCTGTTCTTTGGGTCTGAGACAAATGTCAGACACGTGGGGATGTGGTCCCCACTCCAGGCCCATCCCAACACACTCCATGTCCTTCTGGGTTGCAAAGCGGCTCAGCCAGACCCCCAATTCCACTCAACACCCCAAGTACACATAAATCAACCAGCATCTTCAAAGTGAAACTCCCTCCCAGAGGGCTCTTCCTTGGAGTTGTTGCACAGGCGGGAGGGGAGGGAAGAGAAGGGCAACTAGGGAGGGGTCTCCAGGCTTCTAGCCTCCCCATCAGATGGAGGAGGGAAGACAGGGGGCTAGAGAGGGGAGCTCCTGGTGGCAGCCCAGAGCTGGCAGAGGGGGCAGGCTGACAGGCCACTTCCTCTGGATGATTCCAAGTCCCACGCTTGTCTGTCTTTGGGGCCCGCAGGGTGGGAGTGGAGGCCTAGTTCACGGGGCTGATAGGATGCATCGCAGGACAGGGAAGGCAAGGACACCACAGGCTTTGCACAGAAGGGCAAACTTCTTCAGGGGTCCCTTGCCTCTTGTCTGTCTGCATCATCTGCCCTCCCCTGCTCCCTGCCAGACCTCAAGTAGAAACGTACAGTCTGTCTGGGTCACTGCTGTCCCTGGGTCTCGCATAAGCGAACACACAAGGGCACTTAGGAGTTTATGAACTGCAGCCACTTGGGCTGAGAGGGGTTAAGCATTTCGCCCAGTCACACAGCATTTCTTGCACTGTAAGAGCAGAGGAAAAGGGCCCCTGGGGTGGGTCGGGGCAGGGCCCCCAGGAGACAGCCCTCCCCTTTCCAGAGGACAACCTCTAAAAGACTGAGGGCCGGTTACAGGGCCCCAAGCTGGTGGGAACCTCCCCAGGCCCAGGGTGACTGAGGGCACCCCCAGGGCTCAGCGCAGATCATTTGAAAGCCCAAGAGACCCCAGGGGTAGAGGGACAAAGCTCTTAGCCCCCTTCCAAATTGCTGGGTCTCCCCCCTCCCCCGCTTCCACCTCCTGCCCTCCCGCAAACACGGCTTGAGGGCCCGGAGCAGCTATTCTTGCAGGCGCCCCCCTCAGCGGCTGGAGGGGAACCCCTCTGGGCCCTAGCTCTGTCTATGCCACAGGGAAGGCGGGAGGGCAGACTCCCTTTCCAGTCGCAGAAGGCGCCAGAGTATTTCCTGGTCGGGGAGGCTGCGCGCCGGGCTCCGGCCCATGAGGTGTGGGGGCGTGCAGGTGGGGCACTCCCCGCGACCCCCAACTCCAGGCCTAACCCTAAGGGGTTAATGCAGAGCCAGCCCATCCTCCCTGGCGGGTGGCGCAGGCTGGACTCCCAACCCCTCCCTAGTAGGGCATCCTCCCGGAGGCGGCCGGGCCCGCCCCGCGTTGCCATGACGATGGGCTGAGCGCGCACGCTTTTCCTGGAGACGCCGAGGTCGGTCCCTGAGCCAAAGCCGGAGAGAGCACTGAACATAGAGTTGTGGGGCGGGAGGCGTTGGGCAGGGTGCCCGCCACCCATTAGAGCAGCGGTCGAGCAGGACGTGCACCCGCGAACACAGGGTCTCATCACCCCGGGTCGCCAACGCCAGCGCCGTCTCCCACGACTCTGTCCGCTGTCATGGTAACCTGGCGTGCCCGGAGGGCGCGCTCACGCCTACGTAGAGCCCGCGTGCTTCAGCCCCAACTGCGCTCCCCTGAGACGCCCGAGCAAGCAGCATGCGGGTCTGGGCTGAGTGCGAACAGAGCTCGGGCCCCACCGCAGAGAGGCTGGGTCCGACCAGGGAAGGCCCGCGCACAGGCACACCCGTACAGAGCTCCAGACAACCCCGGGGCCCCAGTTCTGGCGGGACCGGGGCAGGGGGGCCCGCCCCAGGGCAGTGGAACCCACTGGGTTCAGCAGTGCCCCGAGCTCCCATGCACGCGCAGGCAGCGTGCGTGGAGCATCTTTGGGAACCCGGCGAATGCCCACCCCTTGTGAGCTGCACCAGCCCTTGCAGAGGCTGTCGCTCCGGTGGGGCGGGGGTGGGGAGCTCTCTGCAGGGAGGTGGTGCACGGTGTACGACCCCGGCCAGTTGCAAAGAGCTGGGGACAGCCACGCCCTGAGAGGCCCGAGGGGGCACAGCAGGGCAAATTGCTCTGGACGTGAAGGCGCCAGCTGTAGAAGAGGGGATGCCCAAGGGAGGAGAGAGAAGGGTAGGGAGGAAACGGAAGGGGGAACTCGCCTGGAGCTGCGCCGTCCCTGGAAACCAGCTGAGTCGCAGTCTCCTCCTCCCAGACCCCCAAGCCCTCCCTGGCCTGCCAGAGACCTCTCCAAGAGTCCAGTGGCCAGGCCCAGAGCAAAGGGGATAAAGGCTCGGGGCTGCCATCTGCTTCTCCATGACAAGATGCCACCTACTCCCTCATGTTACTCCCCTTCCAGACAGGCCACAGACCCCCATTCAATGCAGAGGGACACTGAGGCCAAACAGGAGAGTCAGCAGCCCTGGCCCACCAAGCCAGGTCAGGGGCATGTGCCTAGTGCTTGGCCTCTACTGCTGGAGGGTGCATGGGCCCAGCAGCCACCCCCTACCACCCACCAGGGCTCCCACTTCAGAAGGCTTAGAAAAGCAGGGGCTGGAGGTTCATGCTGTGGTGGCTGATCCCCCCTCTCCCCCAAGGAGTGAGGCAGAGGGGGAGGCAGGAGCTGTGGCAATGTCTATCCCAGCCTCACCAGGGTTCACAGGAGGGGCAGGAGAGGAGGGGCTGGCCTCTGAGGCTGTGATGACCCTCAGGGACTGGATGCAGCGGAAGGAGCTTCCCTGACCCTGAAGAATAACCCTGGACCAAGTGGGGGGCACAGGGGTACCCCTGGAGTGACCAAGCTCCCAGGTCAAACCCCACAGACTGGCCCACCGAAGCCTGCCTCAGGCCATCTAGCTCCCCAAGGTCACAAGCACCCCCCCTGCCCCAGCCCCTGGGATGGGCACTCACGTAGTCCTGGAAGGCCTTGGCCTCATCTGAGCGCTCACAAGCCTCTCTGCGGTCAGGTGCGGCACAGTACAAGTCCCAGAACACACTGTGGGCAGGCAGCAGGGGGGGACGATGGCTTCCCCACCTACTCCCAGCCTCCCACTGGGCCCCACCCATGCCGGTCCCACACGCACCACCACCAGGAGTGCAGGAAGCCAGGGGGCTCCCCCAGCGTGATGTTCTTCTCCCATCGGATCTGCGAGAGATAGGAAAGGCAGGTGAGGGGGCCACTGCCTGGCCCAACCCCCTCCCCACACATCCGAGGCAGCCCCAGCCCAGCACAGTGCCCAGGGAAATGTGGGCTGGGGGACCACTGAGTGAACAGATGGTTGGGGAGGCAGGGGGCAGATTCTCAGATGGCTGTACAGATGCCTGGATGCCAGCCCTTCAGCCCTGACCCCAGCCCTCAGCCCCCAGAGCTATCACAGGGACATTTGTGCATCTCCCAGAGCCACCGCTGGTGCCCTGATGGAAATGGGGTGGATCGGACCCAGGGATATGAGTGGTGAGGAAGGGCTCCAGCAGGGCAGGGCGGGTGGGGGTGGGGGTGGGGGAGGGCACTGCCTGGAAGGGGTTGGCTTACCTCGGACAGAAAGGTCTGGGCTGATTTCTGGGCACCCACATGCAGCAGGTACTCATATACATACAGTGCCAACCTGTGGGCAGGTGGGGGCTGGCTCAGGCTCTCAGAAGGCCTGCGGACAGCCCGGAAAACCTCCTAGAGGGTTGGCTGGGAGTGGCTCAGAGGTATGGCACCTGTCTGGCAGGTATAGACAATGCGGATGGGACCCACCCCAATTGGCCTCACTTGCCACCACCCCCTCTGGCCCTCACTGCCCAATACCTGACCAGAGAGGGGCTCACCAGTTGCTTAGCCCAGCCAACTCCTACACATCTATCAACACCCAGCCTTCAAGCTCCTCCTCTAGATAGCACTCCCGGCCACCTAACTTCCAAGCCAAATTCTGCTCGATTTCAGTACCCCATGGATGTCCCTGGGGAGCTCTTCTGCCCAGAGAAATGGCTTGTGTGTGTCACTTCAGACTGTGTTGGGTAGGCCTTGTGGTCACTCCCAGCACCTAACTCACTCTTTGCCCTGTCTGCTGAGGAAGCAAAGGGGGAGGGCCTGAGGTATTCCTCCTCCAGGGGGCAAGAGACCCCATCCTCCTCAGCAGGACAGGCCCATCCACCAGTGGGGCCCCTGACCTAAATGTACTAATCCCACAAGGGAAGTTTGGGGAAGTGAAGGTAGGTGAAGGGAGTTTGGGCCAGCAGTGCCATTTGGCTGCCAAGGCACCGCCTTGCATTTGCCCACAGTGCCTGGACATGCCAACTCAGCCACTGCCCACCCCAAGAGCATGGGCCACCCCTGGGCCAGCAGTGCCCTCCCTGGGCCATGCAGGGAGTCTGGCCCATTTGCACCACCCTCCAGGCTTCTCCACCTCCAGCCTCCACTCCAGCAATCTGTCTTCTCCACCAGCTGGCAGAGGGACAACTCCCCAAGCCCCGGGATCATTCCTTGCGCAGACACTAATGCAGGCACCGGCGCTGGCCCCTCTGGGCTCCCCAGGGTCCTCCGGCTGCCGGGCCAGGCCCCAGGTGGGATGGTGAGAGGTCTGCATCCCAGACTGGGGCTGCACCTCTAGCAAAGGCTGGAGGCTCTTCCAGATGCCTCCCTGCTCAGCTGGCCACCCTCCCTGGATGAGGGCCTCATCTTAAAATAACCTTGCTTTGACTCACGCTGCTCTCCCTGGCCCTTCCCAGCTCAGCTTCCCAGTCTTCACATCCTGGCCCACCCCACTGCATGGCTCATCCACCGTCTATCCATTCAACATTCACCCTGCACCTCCTTGTGCCATGAACACAACAGACCCGTCCCTGGAGGCTACCTCCTCATGGGGAGAGAGGAAGCATGAAACGAAGAAGGGAAGTTGTATGGCAGGGCAGAAGGCAGTGTGTGCCCTGGGACAGGGCAGGTGGTAGGGACAGCAGGGGGTCGGGTGGGCAGCTGTCCCAGGGGGAGGCTTACTGTCCCCATGTGAGCTGTCCTGGCCACCCAGGCATAGAGGAGATAGACACAGGGCGGCCACATTGCTCCAAGCGCCTGTTTCCTACAAGGCTGGCTGCAGTCACACCCTCTTGGTCTCCCTGGTGCCCCTGGCCTCCAGGCTCACCTGTCCAGCTCACTCCATGCCCCGCCCCCTTTCTAGTGGCTTCCTGAGCTTTCTCAAGGGGCCTGAGTCCATCACTGAAGGAATGAATGGGAGAAGCCCCAGCCTGCCCTCCAACCCCCTCCCTCCCAGCCACTTTAGGGATCAATGCAGAGGGCAAGGTCCCTTTAGGGGGGTGCAGGCAGGCTGCCTGGGGAGGAAGGGCAGCCACGTGGGGGAGGGCTGGAGGCTGCCCACCAGGGGCAGAAGGCTCTGCTCAGGGCTCGGGGAACTTCCTGAAGGTTCCCAACGCATCCACCAAAGGCTCCACACTACCAGCCCAGTGGATCCTTCCTTCCCTGTCTCCTCCTGCCGACTTCAGCACGGGGCCTGACCCAGGACGCAGGCCCGGAAGCCCCCCTCTGCCACCCCTCTGACCTCTGGGCCTGCTCCAGGCTCTCTCCTCTCCATGGGTGGCTTTCCCTTCCACTTTGGGGACATCATTCAGCTGCTCATGGGGCACTCCAGCCTGGCCTCCTGAACTCAGGATCCACCGGCCCAGCCTCGACACGCCCCCACCCCAGCTTCCTCCTCTCCCACCTCCCCTTACCCCCACTCCATGTGGCCCAACTTGGGTGGTCTGGCCATGGCTCGGGAGCACATGCATGCATGAAGACCCACTGGATGCCTCCCAGAGATCACTGCGCTTACTGAATTTAGGGAAAGAACTTAAGGAACCAGCTCTCTCTCTGGATTCATGGCCCTCCCTGCCTTCCCACTGCACAGCTGGTCCAGGCCACTGCCTCTCTGACCTGGACTTCCACAGGTTACCCCCAGGGGCTGCTTTTCCCAGCCCCTAGAGTCTACACCCTTCCACAGACACACACACACAGACACACACACACGATGGTCCCTCTCCTCCTGATGACCTTTGCATATAGAATGTTCCCCCTGGTGTTGGGGAACTTCTGCCTAGGAACCTGTGTGGGTCCAGTGTCACCTCTCAGAGGCTTCCATCACACCTAACCTCACCCCACTCCATTGTCCCCCATCATCTTATTTACCCCCAACATGTCTGTGCTCACTGCCTGCAGCCCCTACTGGAACGTGGCTTTGGGAGGGCAAAGACTTGGCCTCTTTGCTCACTGCTGAGCTTACAGCAGCGCCCGGGACATTCGGGGCCCCCAGCCACCCAATTAGTGAACAGACCAACACTGGGCCCTTCCTAGGATGTCCAGAGGGTTACTGAGAAGGTGGTCTGGTAGGCACCAAAAGGTCAGTGCTTATTAACTCCCATGTTAAGAATCTGGGTGTGATCCAAACGGGAAAAAGGAGGAGCCGAAGAGGGTGCTCGGTCTGGCTCATTTCTCTTATGTGTTGGTACTTTAACTTTTACCAGGACTGAGTCTCAGGGAAGAATTGTAGGCTGCTGTTTTAGTTTGTTTTGGTAAAAAGTACTGAAGCCCGGATGTTTGGCCAGGTTGTTCTGGAACCTCTAGGGCCCTCCCCTCCTGGAGGGCTTCCAGTCTGGGGCATCGGGGCCTAGATCCTGAGCTAGGTGTCAGCCAAGGCTCTGGACCCAGATCCCCACCCCTAGCCAGGTCGGTAATGGCCTGCAGAATGAAGTACCCACCCAAAGGAGGGGCTCCTGCCGCACCAGGACAGGTGGGTGGGAGGAACGCGTGACCTGCAGGGTATGAGGTGCCCAGACCTGGGGTGCTCATGGGGAGAGAGACAGGCCTGCCCAGGGAAGTGGTGACAGAACGTACAGCCTAGTGGACTACAATGGGGTGCTACCCCCTTAATTTTCAAGGATCAGTAATTACCAAGAATTACAGTAACTCCCCACCCCAGGATGCTTATGCAGCTGGGCGCTGGGAGATGCTACTCATGGACTTGTGTCACCTCTTCTCCAAGGGCCTCCCCAGCATACACAGTTCTTCCCCTCCTCTGGCACCCCTAAGGCCAGGCCTTCAGCAGTCTGTAGCTGGGATGGCAGCCATCCAACAGTTACCCCTTACCACCCCCCTCCCACCTGGTGGCCTGAGGGGTAACCCTCCCAATCACAAATTTGACTGCAACCTCCCTGCCTCCCTCCTCCACCTGTTCTTTTGTGGAGGCTCCCCTGGGTCCATCGGCTCTGCTTAGCCTCTAGGCCTCAGCTAGAAGGTTCCTTTCTTAAGAACCTCTTACCCATGTGTCCACTGAACAAGGATGCCCACAGCCACACTTGGAAGCCCCGCAAGAGACAAGACAGACGCCCGGTGATCCCCTCACTCACTAAGCTAAGGAACAAAGTACCCATGGCATGTGCCTGCCTCAAAACCAATTCTGTGAAGAACCACAAGGTGCCCAGTGACAGCACTGTGGTTGTCACTGATGGGATTATTCTAAACCAAACCACAGCACTTGATGTGTCCAGAGGACACACACAAAGTGAACATTTAGACACCCCACTACACAAACCACCACTGATGGTGGCAGAGCCTCTGGGGCCAAAGGGGGAGAGAAGCAAAGGGGATAAAGGGGCCTTTAAGTGTCCCTGTTGCCTTTGTCTTCTTATTTATAAAGCCCTGAAACCAACTACCGATGCCAGCGCTCAGGTGATGGGCGCTCTCAGTATTTCCCTGTGGGTTGGGAATGTTTATTATTGGACCCACTGCCCACATATCCAGCAAGCGCTCAGTTCTTTTTTGGGACAGGCTGGCCCAGACCTAGTGTCAAGATGGGGAGCCCAAGAGGGATCAGGGCAGAGGCCCAAGGAGGAAAGAGAGGAAGGGCAGGAGGAGGCAGGAGGGAAAGCAGGGAAGTAAACAAGCTTAGAGAATTGGGGGCCTTCAGCCCATTTCAGAGAGGAGGAAAGCGAGGCCCAGAGACAGGAAGTGGCTTGGGGGGCAGCTGCCCATGCAGGGTGCTCCACCTGCAGCCTCTCACCAGCCCTAGTGAGAATCCAGCAAGACCAGTGCTCTACATTTCAGAACCTGAAGTTCAAGCAACCGGCCTGCCTCTCCAGGGTGTCGGCCTCCACGCTTCTGAGAGCCCCCCAGCCCCGAACCTGAGAGCCAAGCAGGTGGCTTCCTCCCCAGGCCCCCATCCTATCCGTGAAATGGAGTACGCAACCATCTGGTATATCCCAAATGTTTTTGAGTAGAGCCCCATCTGTAAACCAACGCTTAGACTGGGCCCTCTATGAAAAATGGGTGCACACAGGATGGCTCTGGCCAACACGAGGACTGGAGAACTGGTAACATGATGGGACCCTGAGCTCTACATGAGGTGCCTCTGCAGATCCTGGAGTCCCCAACAGCCCCTGCTGGTGAGAGGGTGGATAGGAAAGGCGGAAGGGAGCCAGGAATAAGGATGACCCCCTCTTCCAGCCCTGCCCAAAGGCTGAGGCCAGGTTCAAAGAAGCAGAATCTCTCCTGGAATGTCCAATAGGGTCAAAACCCAAGCCCAAACCCAACCACTCCCGGCTCAAACCCATTATTCCCTCCTTCCTCTTGCTTCCATGGCCACTACCTCGGTCTAAGCTGCCATCAGCTTTCCCAGATAACTGTGCTTGCCCCCTGCAGGTCCCCTGGACTCTACTCCTGATCCCCTACAAGTCCCACTCCACAGAAGCTGGCATGCACTTTCTCTCTCTCTCTCTCTCACACACACACGCACACACACATACACATGCATATGCAAGTCTCCCTTGTGGGCAGCCCTACCCTCACCCTGGGCACAAGCCCAACTCCTCTGTCTGGCTTCACCTCAGGGCCTTTGCACTTGCTGTGCCCTAGGCCATCTGCTCTTGCTCTAGGACTCTGCACACCCGGCAGCCCCCTCATACTTTATTACCACACACGTCCCCACTTTGCTCTCTTTATACAATGTCTTGAGATCTTCCATCTGATTATTGGGTAACTTGATACCTGCCTTCCCTGCAAAGATGTGGACTTCTTCAGGGCCAAGGGCCTGCCTTCCGGACTACACCCTATCCCAGATCCAGCCCAGGACATGTCTGCTGAACAAATGAACAATTCCCAGTGGGCGAGTAGCCACCCCCAGACACAGCAACCAATGTATGAGGACGGCCAGTGACCAGGATCCCTACTGGCTGGTTGAGCATGCCTGGCCCACCCATGCTTCCAACTTGTGCATGAGCCATGTGCCAGTTTTTAAAAGTCTTCATGCTTAAGGGTGCTTAGAAATGGAACCATAACTACGCTGATGAGTACAAGAGCCCTGAAAAGGCAGTTATCTGCCTAGCATCTTCTGAAGAGAAGAATATCTTCTCCAAAGTAACCCAAAGCTGGGTAGAGACTCGACATTCGTCCTTGTGTTGGAGAGAAGGGTCCCAATATCAGCCCAGGCAGAAAAGGCAGGACAAGACAGAGAGCAACTAGCCCACATCCAAGGCTCTTCACTGCCCCGACGCACAAGTTCTCCTTTCCAGCTTGGCACTCAAACGGGACTCCTCCCTAATGACCCTGCCGCCTCTCTGCTCCAGCAGCTGTTTTCCCACCACATGCCACCCTAGGCAGTTCCACTTCTAGGATCCTGCAAATTGGTCATTGGCCATCAGACATCAAAAGCCTTTCCTCCTGCAGGCCGTTCTCCTTCAACAATTCTGCAAGCAGTTGGGTGCCCTTGCTGTGGGCCGGTCATAGTTCCCGACACTTTCCAAACGTTCCGGACCTAAGGAATGACACTGTTTACTAGGTTTGCATTTCTCAGAAAGCAAAGTGAGCTAGGAGAGGGGGTCTCCCTCGCCTGAAGCCACGGAGCAGCTAACTGGCACAGGCAGAAGGCAAGTGCAGGGACCCAGCGGCAGGCTGCCTCCCCACCAGAGATCATGCTCTCAGCGCTGGGTACCCCCCTGCCCCGCACCTGCAGGGTCTGGCAGTTAGGTACCTGTCTCCCTACCAGTCCAAGAGCACTTGGTACCCACGGCCCAGCGACACGCCCAGAATAGGAGGCGCCTCTGGACTCGGCCCACCCACTCCAGGACTGTAAGCGGAGTGGCCTTCCCAGGGGCCCCACCCAGCTGCCCGGGGCCAGGTGGACGTAAGAGAATGGAGCCGGCACCCCTCAGACCCTACTCTCTCTTCTCGGCTCCTCCTGAGGCGCGGTGGATCCCAGAGAAGCCGGTCTCGCCACCCACCTCAAAAATTCCCTGGAGAATACGGGAAGCAACACGGTTCGCAACCCCGCGCGCACGCGCGCCCGCAACCTTGCACGTCCAAGTCTCGACCGTCGGGGAGGTCTCGCGACCATCTAAGTCCCGCTTGCATCTCGCGTGCCTCTCAAGTCTCGCGCCCCTCGGGTCTCCAGTGCCCCTTCAACCCTCAAGACCTCTCCGGTCTCCCACACCCCGTCAACCTCGCGACTCCTTGTGCCCTTCACGCCCCCGAAGTCTCGAGTGCCCCTCAAAATCTCGCGACCCCTTAAGCCCCTCACGCCCCTAGGGTCTAGAGTGTTTCCATGTATCTCGCGACCTCTTCAGCCCCTCCGGTCTTGCGCGCCCCCTCAAATCTCGCGCCCATCGGGTCTCGCGGGCCCCACAAATCTCGCGACCCCTCGACCGCGCTCGGGGCCCGCTTGCCCTGCACCGCGCGCGCACGTGTCCCTCGCAGTGCCAGCCGCCGGCGGCGGCGGCGGCGGTGGCCGCAGGACCCACGAAGCTGCGCGGCCGCCGAGTCCCGCCCCCAGCCCACCGACTCACTTCTCGCGGGCCTGGTTGTCGGAGGGCACCGTTGAACCCTTTCCCCCCTTGGCGTACATGCTGCTCCGAGCCGCCGCTGCTGCCGCTGCCGCCGCCGCCGCCGCCGCCGGAGCCCACACCTGTCAGGCGGCGCCGCGGGCCGCGCTCGTGGTCTCCATAGCTACCCTGCGCCCCGGCCCTCACCGCCCCGAGCCCCGCGCGGCCACCGCAGGCATCGTCCGCGCGGGGGAGCTCCAGACGGCCGAGGCAGCAGCGGCGGCAGCTTCAGCTTGGGCTCCGGCCGCGGGTTTTATTTTCTTCCTCTCTTCTCTTAGCGAAAGCTGTTCCGGGAAGCGCGCGCCCCCTCTTCCCGCTGCGCGCGCCCCCGCCCGCCTCCTCCCCGCAGCCCGCTGGCGCCGCTCTTAAAGGGGCGATGGCAGGCGCGCTGGTGGGTCCCGCTGCCGGGACCGTGGGCCGAGCGCGCAAGCGCAGTGCCCGCCGGGTAGTTGGGCGGGGGTTGGGCACGGCTGCACCAATTTAAGGCACGAGTGGGGACGGCAACTCGCGGCTCGATACTGCTGACCACGGCTACATACACACTCCCAAGATAGGACCAGCCACCCAAATTGTACCCTCAGGAACACAACCACACAGTTGCAGCTACTCTCAGACACGACACAGGACAACTAACATAGTTCCATAAAGCCACAGGCAGTAACACTGGGTGTTATCACCTGACAGACCTACTCCACACTGTACAACTGAGAACACACATATACACTGCTGACCCAGGGACACAGTGTCATACACACAGAGGTATACACAGCTCAAATAGTGGCTATCACAGAACAGAGAAACACACAGACCACAGCTCACGGAGGCACACAGCCGCACGGAGACAGACACGCGTAGACACAACTATGCTACAGCTTCCAGCAGCTGCGGAAAGAGCCCACGCGGCTACTCGCAGTTTCCCGAGGCATACACGGACCTGGGGTCTCACTGAGCCACAGATGACACAGTGTCACACCGTCCCACAGCCTGTGGATACCCACAGCCACACACGCAACGCAGACACCATACAGGAAGCTCCTGGGATACTCGGGAGCCGCCCTGCACTGTCCCAAGGCCACCCTGTCTCAATAGGAGGTGCTGTGCGACTGCTGACTGGGTAACTCCTGCCTCTCAGCCTCAGTGTTGCCAGCTATAAGTGGGGTGCATGCCCCTCTGCAGGAGTCAGGGATGCGGGCAGTGGGCACCCCATTGTCCCTCCTGGGCCCTTCTCTCACCAGGGGCTGTGCAGAGGAAGTGGGGGCAGACACTGAGGTAAGGAACACCGCAGGGTAGGGGTGCCTGGGAGGGCTAGAGGCCTGTGTGTCAGGGTACCTGTGTGCTGTGTGTGCTGGACGTTTGTAGGCGGGCTGCGGGGGGGGGTCCAACTGTGACTCCAGGTCTGGATGTTGCTGTGTATGTTTGGCATAGGTACTCTTTTTTTTGCTATGCGTGACAAAGTGTGTGTGTGTAACGCAATTCCTGTGTGAATGCACGTTTGCGTCCTTGTGCGTGGGGTGGGGGGCAGGGGGAAGCTTGGCAGGCACCCAGTGAACGGTTGCCGTCCAGGCAGCTGTCCCTGGCTCTGCGGAGGTGGTTGTGTGTCTACAGCGGCTGTGCAGGCCGAGTGACGCAGCGCTTTGTTATGTGCACAAGTGTGTGTGAATGTGCGTGTGTGCGTGTGCCTCTGCGCGTGGGTGGATTGCTGGTTCTCTGGGACCTGTGTTTGGTTGTGCGCTCATGTTTTGTGTGTGTGTGTGTGTGTGTGTGTGTGTGTGTCTTAATGCGAGCGTCCCCGTTGCTGGACGACCCCCTGTTATGCCTCCCTTTTAGAGGCCGCCTCCCCAGCACGGCATCCACCCCATTCAGCGTTCTGGCGAGCAGGAAGTCGGGATCCGCTTGGGTTCCAGACGGGGGAAGAGGAAGGGAAGGGCCCGGCTGGCCCCAGCCCCGCCTCCATCCCGAGGGGCTCCGGCCTGGGTTGAGGGGGGAACCGCCAGCCCTTCCCACTTCCTGTCCAGCCGGTCGTCTCCACCCCCTGTCGCCTCCTCCCCCAGCTTCCTCTCTCGCGGGCCTCCGGTACCCCGGGCGGGCGCGGAGGATAGGCCCACCCTGCGCGCTGACGGGGGAGCAGACCGCACGCTTTCGTCGGGCCTACAGCTAGAGAATTTCGAGCACCCCGGGGCCTCGGGGGCCGTGGGAGTCAAGGACACCCTCCTCGTAATACCGCGTCGCACCACTGCTCTCCAGCGCCTACTCCCAGCGAGGCACAGAGAGGCGTGGCTCACCAAGTCACACAGCATTTTGATGACAGCTGTGACTCTGGGCTCTGCAGACGCTCCTCCTACCACTCCAGGCTCCCGCAAATCCCCGTTTATCTCCCAATGCTCTGTGGCTCCCTAGGATTCCGCACGCTTTGGAATCCCTTGCCGTCTCCGAGCCGCGTTGAGCACCCGCTGTGTGCGGGGCTCTGGGGACCTAGCTGGGACACGTTGCTGCTGCCTGTGGAGCAGAAGGTCTAATGGAGAGAGTCAAAAACCGGCGAGTCATTAGGGTAATTTCAGGGAGTGCTACGTGCCGGTCAAAGCCGGGGAGTCCCGGTGGGCTGGACGGGGCGGCGGCAGGGTCTGCGCGGCTCCGCGGGGAAGGTGGAGGTACAGGAAGGGAGCGGGGCGGAGGCGCCCGCGGCCCCTCCCGCAGCAAAGAGGGAGGCGCGACGGGTGGGAGCGAAAGCGCAGTTCTCATGGCAACCGGGACGGATCTCCAAACAACCTCGGCGCCTGCGAAGAAGTTGGCCTAAAGGGAGCGCTGGGTCCGGGCTGCGTGCGGGAAGCGGAGCCGCGCGCACATCCCAAGCAGGGTGCACGCCACGCAAAAGCAGAATCTACAGCGAAGGACCCCCGCCAACCCTTGCAAGGGAAAGACACGGGGAGGACTTTTTTTTTTTTTTAAAGGAAAAGGGGTGCATCCCAAAGATCTGAAAGCGGAATGTCCAGACTGCAGTCAGAGCAAGTGCAAAGGCCCTGCTGCCGGGTAGATCGAGGTGGCATGGAAGAGACTGGGGTATTGCCCAAGGATAGAGGCCTAGGTAGACTGGGGTCCTGGGCAGTGCCTGGGAATTGGTCTAAGAGCTGGGGGGCAGGTAGCCAAACAGAAAGGCTCAGGGTCAAGGCTGGCTCCCAGACCTGCCACTCGTCCGCGGGCTCCTGTGCGCCCCCTGTGTTGCGGTGGGGGTCGCAACGCTGAGCAAGTCTCTGCCTGATGGGACCACCGACGCCCCCAAACCCCAGCTCTGCGGGGTCCGGGCAGTGCGTAGACCAGCCCGAAGCGGGCTCTGATTGTAGGGAAGGAGGGGGGCTGCCCGGAGGAGGGGCCGTCCATCCCCTCCTCACTCCCTTCCAGCCTTAATATTCTTGAGACCTGTCATGCCCTTCACAGGCCAACCTCCCAGCCTCTGCACCGGCAGTTCCGCTGCCTGAAGCTCCCTTTCTCAGGCTCCTGACCTGACTTTTTCTGGCTCCTTCTTTGGCCTTTGGCCCCAGGAGTTCCTTTTCTTCCTCCCCCGCCCCCTCCTCTCCCCACTAACCCACCTCCTCCCCCTGCCCCTCCCTCACCTTCCCTGACGATCTCCCTCCGATCGCTGGTTCTGCACTAGCCTTGGTTGGACTGGTCACTGTCACGACAAAATGGTGTATCAAGTAATCTGTTGGCAGCCTCTGCTCCCACTGAACGTCCCCTCCCTGCGGACCCTGCGGTGGGGTCCAAGGAATATGTTACATGAGTCGTGGGGAGGGCTAGTGTGGGCTTTCCTGCGGATGGCGTTTCCTCTCCACAGGAGGTGGAAGCAGCCCCTCACATTCAAGTGGGGGTCTGTGGCAGGGCCAGGATCTGAGCTGGCAGGCCCTGCAGCCCCTCCCCAGCTGTGCATGGGAGGTGGCCCACAGCTGGGGTAGGGTCTGTACCATGAGACGTTCCCTCTCAGAAGCTGTAATTATGGGTAATTTTCGAACTCCAACACAGAAATTAAAACCCAAACAACACGGGAGGGGAGAAGCCACACCAGCTGGTGAGCACTGATGCGGGCTGGGGCGTTGGACGGGGTTCCAGCCTAGACCTGGTGGGAGCAGTAGGGCCCCCAAGCTAGAGGTGCTGGGGGACAAAGGGGCATGGGCAGAGATGAGGTAAGAAACTAAAGGAAACACAGTTTTTTATACTCGAGAAGAGTAGGGCTTTCCAGTGACGTGGCAGCATTAGGCGCATGTGCCACCCCAGATGTTAACCAATAAGAAAAGGTTGTTACCTTTAAAACCTGTAGTGAAAGTACAGTAGGCAAGGCCCTGCTGCGCTCAGGGCTCAGCCTTTGAATACGAATCCGCTGAGCCGGTGCCGGCATCAGTAAACGCTGCTTCTCACGCCAAAGGTCTCGGTGTCCGACTCCTTGTTCGTAGTTCTCGCGGTTCCTGCAACATTTCCTGGGGGCTCGTCCGGGATTCAGAGACTGTGTATTCACCTCCTTTGTCGCCGGGGAAGGTGACCTCCCCTGGCGCCAGCGGACAAGTGTTTCTTGGGGACTCGCCCCTCCCGACGAATCGGGAATATAACCCGAATGCACCACAGAACCGGTGAGGCGCGAGAACCAGTGGGGAGCCTTCACCCATGTGTCCTGTAAGAACCTGGGTTTGAGGTAGAACTGTCTGAAGAGACAGAGGGGAGCCTGGTCACCTCCCAGGGTCGCCCGAGTAGCCCCCATCTGGGCGAGGGGCAGAACTGTGGTGAGACTCTGGCGAATGGCGACTGTGTGAGACGCGGCCTGGTCGCGAAGCGAATGTGGGTCCTGCTCCGCAAGTCCGCGGCAGCCCTCCTGCGGTTTAGGGCCGCTGTCTTTGGAGGGATCCTGACTGGGAGTTACACAGTCCCGCCAATGCCAAGAGGGGAGCAGCCGGAGACTGAGGAAGCCTGTAACAAGCCTTCCAAAGCACCCCCTCCACCGAACCCAACTCCTTCTTGTGTGTGTGTCTACGTAAAGGGAGGTATGGGTGGTCAGCAGGGTAAGCCTACCCCCTTAGAGTGTATGATTAGAAATTTTAGGAAGGGAGAAGGAATTCAGGGATGATTATGGTGTCAAACTTAGTCCTGGGAAATCTAGACGCTTTGTGAAATAGACTGGGCCTCCTTTGAGGTTGGATGGCCATCTGAGGGATCTCTAGATAGTTAATTGGTAGGGTTTTCCAGGTGACCACTGGAAGTCCCAGACACCCAGACCAGTTCCCCTATATTGCCTGTTGGCGAGATGTAGTCCTGTCCCAACCATCCTGGCTGAAACCATGCTTAGAGAGAAATTGTAAGGTTATGATAGCCCAAGTGGCGGCTTCTTCCAAATGTTCCCTGATCTGAAGAAGTCTGACCTGGCCAGTGAAAAGGAGGAGACACCTCCACCATATGCTCCCTCATCCATTTACCCACTGTTACCAATTGCCTTGCCCTTGGTTGAGTCCACGGGAGAGCCCCAGGCAGACTCAGGTGCCTCAGAAGCTGCTTGTGCACCATCCCTGCTGCCATTTACTCCAGAACCTCCGGTTTTGACTCCGCAGCCCCCTGTCAGAGGGGCCAATCTGCCTCAGTTAGGGACCCCTCCAGTAAGTAATCATGGCCAGGAGCCCTGCAGCTGTCCCCGTGTGAGATATGGGGCCCTTTCCTCTATGATCAAGACGGACGTGTCCAAGGGGGACAACGAGTCTGTCTACCACAGACCTCTTAAACTGGAAAAACCATAGGCCATGATTGACTTGTAACAATCTATAATTCAGACTCATAAACTCACCTGGACAGACGTCAGCCAATTCCTAGTTATTTAATACAGAGGAGAGGTGCTGAATAACCCAGGTGGCCATCAAGGGGCTGGAAGACTATGCCCCGGATGGAAATCTGAATACCCATGCCTCCGCCCAGAACTATTTCCCAGAGGAAGACCCCATCTGGGACCCAAATAATGGCCAGGATTACCAGAGTTTAGAATGGTATAAGAGGTTCTTATAAATGGAATGAAAGAAGGAGAGAAAAGGGCCATGAATATGGCCAAGACTCGTGAGAGCCTCCAGGGTCCGAAGAGAGTCCCAGAGAGACATTAGGCATAAGCTACCAAAGCTTGAGGGCTTCGCTGGAATGAATGTTAGCCAGTTAATGGAAGTGGCCACCAAGGTTTTTGTTAACTGAGATTAAGAAGCTCAGAGGGAGGCTGATAGGAAGATGAAGGAAAAGACAGATCTCATCACGCGGTTCTAACAATACATTCCAGATGCCCTCCAAGGTCTACCCCTCCTGGCAGATGGTGAGGGGCTGAAATCAACCTGAATGACTGCAGCTTGGGAGAAACCAACATGCCAACTGCCTCCAGGATGGACATTGGAAGAACGAATGTCCTCCAAGCAGGGGAAGACCCAGACCAGGGAAGGGGACAAGTAGTACAGGGGTGGTACCAGTCCTGGAAACCAGCCCCGAGGGCCCAGGGCAGGACTTCGTTGGCCTTGCTGCAATGGAAGACTATGAAGATGAATCTTGTCCTCTCACAAAGACAGCGGCAACTCAAACCAAAAAGGAAACGGGCTGTTTGTGCAGTCCCCAACCCCCAAGCCCCATGTCAGATTCGAGAATTCTTAAGTGCCACAGGATTCTGCTGGATCTGGATCCCCGGCTTCTCAGTCATGGCAAAACCCTTATATGAAGCCACCAAGGGGGGTGAATGGGAGCTGCTAATTTGGGGGAAAAGAAGAAGAGAGGGCCTTCCAGACCATAAAACAGATTCTCACTGATGCCCCAGCTTTGGGACTCCCGGATCCCTCAAAACCATTTTCCTTCTATGTGCATGAATGGTCGGGATCAGCAGTTGGGGTACTCACCCAAATGTTGGGATCCTAGCAACATCTGGTAGCATATATATCAAAACAGGCCCTGTGTCTCGAGGACAGCCTCCGGGCCTCCAGGCCCCGGCTGCCATGACTCTCCTGGCGGCAGAAACGGACAAGCTGACTCTGCGGCAAGATCTAACCGTCCCAGTGCCACATGTAGTACTGATCTTGATGGACCATAAGGGACAGTACTGGCTCACAAATGCCCAAATAGTCAGATACCATGGAATGCTGTGTGAAAACCCCCACATCCCCCTGGCCACCCTACTGCCAGTCAGCCCTGGGGCCCCAGACCACGACTGCTGTGAAAAAGTGGATGAGGTTTGCTCTAGCAGGCCAGACCTGTCAGATCAGCCTCTCCCTGACCCAGACATAGAGAACTTCACTGACGGCAGCAGTTTCGTCCAGGATGGGAGGCGATGGTCGTCACCTTAGATTCCACCATCGAGGCCAAGCCTTTGCCAACTGGCACCTTCACCCAAAAGGCAGAACTAATTGCCCACCTCCAGGCTCTCCAATTGGCGGCGGGAGTTTTGAGTATCTACATTGACTCCAAGTACACCTTTACTGCTGTCCATGTACACAGGGCCCTATACAGAGAGAAAGGGCTGATCAACTCAGGAGGAAGAGAAATTAAAATGGCAAGGAAATCCTCGAGCTGCTAGATGCTGTATGGGCTCCTGAAAAGGTGGCGGTCATACATTGCTGGGAGCACCAAAAGGAGGCACTGTGATCACCCCAGGAAACTGGAGGGCCAACCCGGAGGCAAAGCACACAGCCCGTGAGAGCGACGTGTGACCGGCCATGCTAGCAAGTGTCTGTTCCCAACTCCACTGGCCAACTGGGACCCACACCACTCCCAGCGTGCAAAGGCATGGTTTGAGACCGAGCCTGGAGAATACCTCTCTGGGGGATGGTGAATGTTGGCCAGCAGGAAAATAGTCATTCAGGAATCCCCAGCTCCAGCCTTCGTAAAACAGTTTCACCAAGAAACACACATGGCATGGACGCCCTTAGAATCCTCCCTGAATGGGCACGTCTATGTACCAAGATTAGCCAGCATTGCTCAGGCTGTGTGTAAAAGGTGCGAGGCCTGCGCCCAGAACATCCCAAGATGAGGACTGAGAGTGAGAGCCCCTGCAGGTTCAGAGCACAGGAGGCACTCCGTTTGCAAACCAAATAGTAGATTTTACTGAATTGCTTCATGTAGGAGCGTTTCTGGGTAGAAGCATTCCTTACCTGCACTGAGACTGCTCGGGAGGTGGCCTGAATCCTCCTATGAGAAATTATTCCTCATTCTGGGTCAGGTAATGGGCTGGCCTCTGTAGCTAAGATAGTGCAACTGTGGACAGGGAGCTAAAAATTACATGGAAATTGCACACAGCTTATTGACCCCAGAGTTCAGGAAAAGTTGAAAGAATGAACAGGGCCCTAAAAAAGCAATTTAGCAGATTGAGTCAGGAAACCCACCTCCCCTGGGGTCAAGTATTACGAATAGCCCTTTTGAGAATAAGATCCAGCCCCTATAGGCAGACAGGGCTGTCCCCTCTTGAGATCCTCTGTGGCCATCCCCCTGCTCTTTAATAGATATTAAAGGACACTCAGGGAACTAGGTAATCTCACTTTAAAGCAACAAATGGAGGCACTGGGCACCACCCTATCTTCCCTAAACCAGTGTGAGTCAGGGAAAGGTTGCCAGTCAGCCTCACTACAGAGGATCATCCTTTCAAGCCAGGGGATTTAATATGGGTTTAAGGAATGGAATTTACAACCCTTAAGGCCCCTCTAGAGGAGGACTTTTACTGTCATTTTAATCACTCCTACCACAGTCAGGGTGGCAGCAGTTACTCCCTGGACACCTCACAGCAGATTGAAGCCCGCCAGCAGCCAGTGGGAGTGCGTTCCTGACACTTTGTTCCCCTGCAAACTAACTGTCCAGAGACAGGCCAAACCGAAGGAGCCGGAG